AACAATTTTTTTAAGCCAAAATAATCAGAAATTGGCATGATTATACTTCGTAAGACTTTTTTTCAACAAGAAAAACAGGTTTGTGAAGTTGAAATAAAAAGAGGCAATTTACTTACTTTAACAAGGACTGATTTTCTTTGTCAGCAAGCAATAACGACATCTTCTCATCAAGCTGAGAATTCTCGAGACATTTGGCCGAATACAACGCCGACAATTGTGCTAATTCAGTGCTCATTTGTTCTAACATTTTACTGCAAAGTTCATACTTTAATTGCATTTTGCAAAATTAATTGTTCCAATCTCAGTTTTACTCCAAGTTAATTAGTACCATACTATTTTTATTGTAATGAAAATTTAAATAAACAAATAGATAAATAAAAATAGGTTATTAAAAATTATTCTTGTCTCACAAATAATATAAACAACAATACTTATTTATCTCAACGATTTCTTACCTTTGCCTAGTAGATTGTATATCATTTCGAATATCAACTGAGGTGCATGCTTGGGATGATGACATTATCCCAGAACTAATGGTACCAGTACCACAGCTAGACATAGTACGAACTTTTTCTGCTATATTTTTTAATTCAGCATCATGAGCTCGTTGTACAGCATCCAAAGCCATCCTCAAACACAATTATAATTTAACTATACGTTTTAACGAAATACAAATTGAATATACAAGCAAAAATAATAAATGTTGTTGTAGTGATTTTTATTAATTAGCTCAAGTAAATTGATCACAACAATGACTAAAAAATTTGTTGCTTGAAATTAGCCACTTCTTATATTTTGAATAAGTGTACAGCTGTTATTAAATTTCTGAAAAATACTTGGTAGCTTTTTTTTCTTCTTGCAATTCAGCAACATGTTCATCACGTAACGTAGTAATTTGTTCTTCGTAATGCCGACGTAGTTCTTCAAGCAATTCTTCATGAGTTTTTTTCATTGCTGTCATTGAATGATCATTTAATGACTACAAATTAAATTTTTAAATCAAATTTTCTAGATTCTGACTAAATATTATCACGTAAGATTTAAAAACTGTTGAAATTTTTGCTTCATTTTGAAAAATCAAAATCGAAACTATTTAAATATTTATAACCAAAAACATAAGTATAAATAATATTCGTCTAAAAAATAAATATAAACGCTTAAAAAAAATCTTTTTTTGAAATACATTAATTGTTTGCAATTCTTCTTGGGCTTTTTTCCGCCGATGTTCTTCATGTTGTAAACGTTCTCGAAGTAAACTTAATTGATGATCAAATTTGGACTGTAATGATTCCAATTCATCTGCATGAGCAGCCTGACATCGTTATAAAATTATATTTTTACTTCAGAAGAGAAAAAATAGATCAAAATTAAAATGTAGTAGTTACATCTGTACCTGAAGTTCTTCTAATTCATCTTCTAAATCTTGAACTTCCACTCTAACTTCTTCGGATGATGATTGTTGCTGTAAACCAAATAAATATTGTCGTGAAGCAAAATACTTAAAAAATCATACTAATTTGTATAATATCTTACTTTAGAATAGTCTTTTTCATGAGATTCTCGTTGCGTTTTGACCAACATTTTGCCTGCCTACAATTACAAAAAATCGGTAAAATTTCATTACTATTTTGAAAAAATTCAGTTTGTAGTGATTGAAATGACTCAATTTTTTAAATTTTTGAAAAGTAAACTTCCGAAATATTTTGTATTTTACATTTAAGAATGTGAGACAAAATAAAATATAAATTTTATCTTAATAAAATTTACATTTTATTTATATTTTAACTTTAAGAATATGAAAAATTAAATCACTTAAGAAGTTTGAAAAACTTTTTTCACTGATAAATGTTGAGTAATTTTTCGTATTATTTCCATTACAATATCACAAAAAATTTTCAGTCTTACTTTACTAAAAAATTTAAACCTGCTCATATGCTTCGCAAACATTGCTCAGTATTTCTTCTATCAAATT